ATATTATGAGTTGTGAAATGTAAGTTTAGTATTTGATTTCACTGATGTAGTAAATGACTCTCGTCTTTGCCGAAACAATGACAATATCAGCGTAGTTTGAGCTGCTGCTACACTGAATGCTGCGTGTTTCATTTCAGGAGGTAGTAAATGTAATGAATCATCAATAAAATTACTCGTCACAACATCCGACAAGCAATGAAACGTTAAAAGTGACCTTTTATTTCCATAACAAACCGTGTTCTAACGGTTAGAGATTCGAATCCTGTGGTTGCAAGTGGTAAACATACATCTACCTCCAGAAGGACATACCGGTCAGGCACAGAGAGAAAGGAAGGAAGAGCAGGAGAGAAGAGCCGGATAAGGGATCTCAGAACAGAGCTACTCCAGGTTAGGCCACTGTAATCATGGATTTGTGTTTCATTTGGTTGTGAGTCTGTCAGATCCATGTAACTAGCAAGCGGTAGACAAGCCAGACGTATAATCTACTTGAGATATTTTATTAGAAGATAAAAGACTCCCGTTTCACGTAATTACTATCTGGGTGTTAAAACCCATGTGATCTTTGTGAAATGTGTGCTTCTTATTCTTGTCAGTTATGTGTTCTTCAGAGCTGGTTAATAAAAGTTTTCTAGTTAGACAATTCATTTATTTAATTGCTCTAAATAGTCAAATCATTTGGGGGTGGGAGCTGATAATAGTACTGTCCACACAAATCATGATCTTGGAGGGGCCTCTTCCCAAAACCTTGTCTAGGGCCACCGAAAAGCTAGGGCATGCCTTCGGACAACTCTTCCATGTGGATCATTTTTGTGCAAGCAATGCAGTTCTGCAATTGAATTGAATTCTGTAAGCAAAACAATTCTATGGACCACTACTCCGGTGTCAGCTAAGTCTTTCTGCAGCGCCATTGCTGTGACATGTGGCTTCCGCCATGCACATCGGATCAGTTTCTGAGCAAGTAAATAGTAATTGTGGATTAAAATGTGCAGAAATGTGTCATGTTTAAGTTTGTACCCTGCAGGGAGTGTGTTAACTTCTTTTCACTTAGAGATTCAGTGAAACATGCAATTAGACCAGGGGGGCCCAACGTTTTGCATTCAACTGTACAGGTCCCACTTGGGATAATGCTTAAGAGCTGTGAACAAGTCAACTCACATGGAGTCTCTGGTTCACAATGGAGAATAAGTTTTCCAGTGGTTTTTAGTTAACCAGCAATGACACGGCTGTACATTAGGTCAGCGGAGAGAGTTTATCAAAAATGTCACCCGATTTTTAAGAAGTCAGATCTTTCCTTTCTCTATCCAACAGATTTTAATGCTCCTAAGGTCACACTGGCCCACAGAACCAGTATCCTCCGGGTAAAACCAATTCTATAAGAGAAGAAAAGTAAACAAATACCAAAATAAATTTCCAATCTGAACACAGTGACTATTGTAACTTATACAAGTCACTGCATGATCAATATCAAACTTATTAAAAAAAAGAATAAGTTAAATTGTGTTATACTGTGTTACACTATGCCTTGTCCTCCTGTAAAATATACTTTGGAGATCAGCTTTGACTGATTTTTAATACTGACGGATTTTGTACACTTTTGGTTTGCTGGTCTTCCCATGCGTACACTTCTGTTTTGCTCATGTAGCAACATTTAACGTGAGGGAGCTTACAACTGATGTTGTTCACACCAGTGTAACGGTGATCTCAGACGGGTTCATGGGCCTTCATATTTGTGGTGATCTTTTCATAGCAGCTTTTGATGTATTTCCTGTTGCAGTTGTTGCATTTGGATTTTGTATTAGGGCAATGCATGACATACTATTCAGCAGTGAAGGCAGTGTTGCAGCTCAACCAGTAATAATAATAATAATAATTCCTTACACTAATATAGTGCTTTTCTGGACACTCCACTCAAAGCGCTTTACAGGTAATGGGGACTCCCCTCCACCACCACCAATGTGCAGCCCCCACCTGGATGATGCGACGGCAGCTATAGTGTGTCAGAACGCTCCCCACACATCAG